TTTAGTGTTGCTATAAGGGAATACCCGAAGCTGGGTAATTTATAAAGAAAGGAGGTTTATTTGGCTCATGGTTCTGCAGGCTGTATAAGAAGCATGGTACTGGCATCTGCTTGGCTTCTGGTGAGGGCCTCAGACTGCTCCCACTCGTGGTCGAAGGTGAAGGGGAGCTGGCATGTGAGGAGATCACATGGCGAGACAGGAAGCAAGAGAGGGAGGGGAGGTGCCAGGCTCTTTTTACAACTAGCTCTTGTGGGAACTAATAGAGTGAGAACCCACTTACCCCCCTCCCTCATGTAGGGCACTAACCTGTTCATGAGGGGTCAACTCCCATGACCCCAAACACTTCCCAGTAAGCCCCTAACTCCAGCATTGGGATCAAATTTCAACATGAGGTTTGCGGGACAAACATTCAAACTATAGTACCTTGTAATGTCAATTCCAGGAATTCAGAAGTCTCATTTGCTTTCTTCCTCCTCCTTCATATTCCTCTTTAGGCGATGAAGGTGCAGGATAGCTGAGCTACTATAACACTAGGATTATAATTTGGGCCCTCTCGGATTAGAGGTGCTGGATAATCTCTGTTGGCCTTTCCAGATCTGTGCTCTACCCTTTCTCAATCCCCAGGAGGCTGACTTCTAATGACTGTGGCAAATTCTCTTTTCTGTGAAGATACTTTTCTCATTTTTTTTAGACTTTTCTCTGAGAATAGATTCTTAGAAATAGCATTACAGATTATCCCTCATCTAAATTGGGACCAGAAGTGTTTCAGATTTTGGATATTTTTGGATTTTGAAATATTTGCGTAGACATAATGAGATACCTTGAGGATGGGACCCAAGTGTAAACATGAAATCCACTTATGTTTCACACATGCATACCCTGAAATTAATTTTACACAATATTTTTAACAATTTTACACACAGAACCATCAAAAAGCCCAGGTGTCAGGTGTGGAATTTTCCACCTGTGGAAATTTCAGATTTTGGAGCATTCAAGATTTCAGATTTTTGGATTAAGAATGCTCAACTTGTACTATGTTAGAGAATGTGAATTTGTTATGACTTTTAATAGGTACTATCAAAGCGTTTTCCAAAATGGTTGTACCAATTCACAATTTCACCAGCTATATATAAAATTATCCATTTCATGATATCCTCACCAGAACAGGATATTACCTTTTATTTTCAAAATTATATTAATTTAATAAAAGGAAGGAAATCATCTTTCATTTGTATTTATTTATTTGAATTATTTTCTCCTGTTTTTTAGGAAGTTTTGTTCCCGGTTGTGAATTGTCATTTTTCTGAAAAATTTCTATTATATCTTTAGATAGTAAAGATATTATTCAATTGGTTGGAGATTAATCTTCACTGTTGTTTGCCCTTAATTTCTTCTTCTTTTTCTTTTTTTTGGTGCTGTTTCTTATTCTAAAGTTCAATTTTTGGGTGGGGGGATGGAGCAAACTGATTTACAACATAGTTTAATGTTCTACTGACTTCTGCTAATATACTTCTCTGTCAAGCAAGAAAAGTTTAAGATTTCTTTTTCTCTGTTAAGCTTCTTTCAGGGATATAATAAATTAATTAAGTACTATTCATATTAACTTACAAGGAAATAACAATTTTATTGGAACACAGGCTTTAGGCAAGCAGCTAAATTATATTTATAAAGATGGATGTGATTTATGAAATCCAGCCATGTGTGTAGGATTGTATTGCTCGAAGACTCCATCCTGTGTGATTAAAAGGCAGACATTTCAAGAAAACCATAAAGTGTGTCAAGCTTGACTTTTAAAAAATTTACATGACATCAAGAATTTATAAAGAGCCATTTGAGGAGATGTTTAGGGATGTCTTTTGAACGTATGAAAAGGAGACCTTTTTAAAATATTTCAGTCAAACATTAAAGAATAGCAGCTGGATTCTATTTTATTCAGGAGCATTTTTTGCTAACCCAAATTATTTATGCCTCATGAATGGGGAGGTGGAATGGGAGTGGGGGGAGAAACAGACTATTTGAATATTCTATCAGTATTTTCCAGATGTCTCACAACTGATGAGACAGTATAATGAGGAGTTAAATTGATTTTTCATGAATCCTTTCATTTCTTGGAAGTCATGAAAACACTGTATTATAGATTCACTCATCTGCCATAAATGTGCTTTTTAGCCATTGAACTTTCCTTGGTAGAAGTTTTTAAAAATTATCTCCTCCAAGAATGCTATGATTAAATTTGATAAAAAAAGATAATATAGAAGAACACATTTTAACCATAAATTATAGTGTGGAAAGTCAAGTTAAAATAGTGTGCAATGAAACAGTATCAGTTGGGGTCTGAGAATAGGAATGAGGTAGAGATAGGCTTATAAAAATCTATAGGAAAGTTTACACTAGATTTAAGAAATCTTTTTTAAGACACTGATATAATTTAAACAGTGTATCCAGGGTGAGTTAGATCCCTACCTCACACCACTTAAACAAATAAATTCCAAATGAATTGTAGCTAATACTGAGTGCTCACCATGTAGTAAGCACTGTTGAAAGGCTTAATATGAGATTGAAGGTGAGGAGTGAGACTTGGACTGGTGATATTTATGGAGGAATCATCTTGGAAATAAGTGACAACTGGGAGAAGGTAAAATGCCAAAAGAAAAGAGCCTTATACTGAGCCCTGAAAAATACCAATATTTAAGGGATGGATAGCAAAAGAGAGAATTGCAAAGCAGAATGAGAAGGAGCTGCCAGAGAAGTACACGGACAAACAGAGTGGGTGCTTAATCAGAAGCTGGGAAAGAATGTCTAGCTCTAAGGAACAGTTGACATATAGATGCTGTAAGTGGTGGGGTGAAGACTGAAAATTCTCACTGACATTTTCCCCTTCAGACCATAAAAACTCCAAGGGAAGGTACGATATCTGTCTTTTTCATCCTTGTATCCTCATCTCATGAAATATAATAGATCCTCAATAAAAATGTGCTGAAGTAATGCGAATAGACTAGTATTTAGTTAAAAGAGAAAAAACAGGTTAAACTATGTTAGCTGAAGAGCTTTAAACTCACCCTAATTTCTTTCTTGAGTGCGTGTGTGTGTGTGTGTGTGTGTGTGTGTGTGTGTTTCTAAGTCAGTTTCTCCTAAAAATACTTACCTCCTCCTCCACAAAAAAAAGACAGGCTGTTTTGCTAATAGTACCTTACAATTTTCTCCAAAAATATGGTCTGTATATTACATCAAAATTATCTAAACAAAAGTCTGTAGTCATATTTTTCCCCCCTGTAATCCAGTTAAGTATGCTTCCTAGTAATTCACACTTCCCTGGCCCCTTGCCTGAGGTAGTCTCAGTACAGCGAAAGTAGAACTTAAGAACTGATCTGACACTCTGTTAGGTATACTTGATTTAGAATTGACTTTGGTTTTTAGAGAAATCAGATAATTTCCCCCATCTTACCTTTTTATTCTATCTTTTTTATTGTATTGTATTTATTTTTGTCTACCATGTTTTATATCAAGACAGAGTAACAGTGCTACACATTAGAATCACCTGGAGAGCTTTTAAAAATTCCAAAGCCCAGGTCTCACCCATACCGATTAAATCAGAATGTCTGGAGATAGTAACCAGGCATCAGTGGTTACTGAAGATCCTCAGGTGATTCCAATTACAGCAAAGTGAACACCACTGGCACAGTAGGTTTTAATCTCAGTTCTGACACTAGCCTTGTAATCTTGGACATGTAATTAATTTCTTTGTGGCATTAACTAATACAAAAGTACTACCTCATACAGTTGTGAGGATGAAATGATTCAAAATAAAGCAATTGGATCAGTGCCTAGGACACACTAAGGGCTTTGTAATTGTTGGGGGCTTGGGGAGAGTTTAGTATAATCTACTCCCTGTATAAGAGGAGAAATGTCATAATTCATTATGAGTTAAATTGTCATACCTCATCCTTTAGTGTGGCTTGGCTATCGCCTCCAAGACATTGTTTGTAGGGTCCATGGACAAATTGCTTTAGTGGTGAACAAGTAAACATTTTCTCCCCTTCCAGAACTTATTAATACATTTTATTGGGGAGATAATCGACAAATCAATATATAATTTCAGGCAGTGCTCATTAAAGCCATACCAATGAAATAACCCTTACTCTGCATTCACTGTGGTCTCTAAGAATACACTTGGCAGAAGGGAAGTCCTTTCTGTTCCCTAAAAGGAAGTGTACTTACAAAAGCATTAAACATTTTTATTTTTAAAAAAACGTAAAGTCACATGTCTCATACAAATACAAAATGAACACTTGTCCAAGATTTACTCATTAATTAATGAGGGAACCAGTAAGACGTCAGAACCAGTCCTAAGGAGAATTTAAAGCACCCACCTATATTGTTGAATCAGGAATGGGGAATGAACTTACAAAACGATGCAAAATGGCTTTTTCCCAGGAGAGGTAAGGTTCAATATGAAGTCCAGGGCACGAGACCACAGAGCTGTATAGAACACCACAAACAAAGGTGGAGAGTTCCCATAGCATCAGAATACCCGGAAGGGTGTGCCAGACTATGGCTGCTTTTTTCACTGAAGACACCCCGTAATCATTTGGTCCATTTCAATGCGTTTCACAATTTTTCCCTACAAAAATCACTCTTATTATGTGTAAAAACCCAGCTACTAAGCAGTTCTTCTACTTTATCTTGCTTTCATTTTCCTTAACCCTTTCGCCTTTGGCAGAGTCGAATGGTATTTCTCAGCTCCCACAAAGCAGGCAATAGAGAGAGGGAGAGTGGAAATCTAATCGTTTCCCTTGGGTAGCCACCAATTTCCGACATAGGGCCCAGGAGGGCTCGGGGCGGCGGG